ATGACCTTCCTCGGCCAACAGTGAATCCTAAATTTGGGCCTTCAGTTCGTCCTCTATCGAGTCCAAATCCGGGCGCAGCACGATAAGAATTCGGCCCACCAGACTGAGACTCCATTCTATGACGTGGTCTCCATTTGTCACGAGCATCATGGTCACGTTCAGAAGTTGTACGGACACTGTTGACCAAAGACTGGCTTTCATTCTGGACCTCTTCCTTCTCCTTCTCCTTGTCCATATCTATCTTCTTCTCACTACGGGATTCCTTCTCTTTCTCTTCAGGACCCCACCTAGACGACCATTTTCCATCGCGCCGAGATTCATGTACAGCAGCACGAGCATTAACCTCATGCCACCTATCAGAAGAAGCAGTGTTTTTGCTTTCATTGGTTTCTCTGCCCAAGACATTATCAATGCGGCGTTCTGTTTTCCTGCGATCCCTCCTAGGACCAAGTAAGCCAGTTTCTCTTTCCTCTTCACGCCATCTCCGGGTTGTTTCACTCTCAGGCACAGTCTTCCTCCAATCCCTCTTGTCCTCAGATCCATCCAAGCGCCATACCTCCTTAGCATTTGGATCATTTGGGTTTCCCAAGGGCACAGGAGTTGGAGATCGCACATCCTATCACGTGCAAAGAATATCAGAAGAGAGGAAAATAAACTAAAGGATCAGATAATTACACAAAGATAGAATAACACATATCTAAAATCTAGAAACTCCCAAAACTGATACATGGTCTACAACAAGTAAAGTGCAACATTCCAACACAAGGAAGTATGCCCTATTAGACCTGGAGCATACTTCCAACAGTACAAGCTGAAAATGACAAGCGAAAAGGTAATAGGCCTTTGATCAGTATTACCATCCTGCTCTCGCTTGGCCTAGTGTAAAGCCACTGAGGAGACAAGGGTATGCTGTTTTCGGAAACCAATTGATCTGCGGGCATAAAAAAGAACAGATTTAGGGTGGAGGAAATCAAAGAAAATCAGATAGACCAAACAGATTCCAAGTCAGACAAACCCTATAACCCAAGTCGGAATCACAAACACAAATCACCGTTGCCCTACTATGGAATTTCTGACAAGATTCAAACCACTGAGGAGACAAGGGTATGCTGTTTTCGGAAACCAATTGATCTGCGGGCATAAAAAAGAACAGATTTAGGGTGGAGGAAATCAAAGAAAATCAGATAGACCAAACAGATTCCAAGTCAGACAAACCCTATAACCCAAGTCGGAATCACAAACACAAATCACCGTTGCCCTACTATGGAATTTCTGACAAGATTCAAAATCTAACGGGTACTAATCGAAGCACGCGGCAGAAACCAAGTGCATCCGGGCGGACTCAGACGCACGAATATCAAGGTAAACGACGCTAGGTTTACACGATGAAGGAAAAAGGCAAACCCTAAGCAGAACAAATTAGGTCAACATTTAGCCAAATCTGGGAGACATCCGCCGCGTACTATGGAATTCAGTTCAGATCCGAAACCCATCAGATTGCATCGATACTTCACCCATTCAAACCGAGCAAGACGAACAAAAAACTCAAACATGAGAAGTAGTCGAAAAGATACGGCGGAGGGATGAAGAGGATGGAGAGGGAAAAGCTACCTTTCAACTGATCAGACGATTTCGATAAGATCAGATCGTCAGGCAGATCGAACTTCCCTTCGGCCATGGCGGGATTCAATCAAGAACTTCGAACACGCGACACGACAAGGAGCAAACGAACCGAGAAAAGAGAGAGAGAGAGAGAGAGAGAGAGAGAGAGAGAGAGAGAGAGAGGGTTTTGCAGAGATTTGGCAGAGATCTCGTCGATGGTTCTTCGATTTGGCTATGAAGGAAAGCTTTCGCGGAGAGAGAGAGAGAGTGAGTGAAGGGGCGAGGAGGAAGGAAAAAGGGTAAGGACTCGCCCAAGTTTTTCAATTCTCTTCTTAATTATAATCATTAATAATTAATTAGGGTTATTATCAAAAATACACTTAATTTAAATTGCTATTTGATATATAAGATATGAATATAATGAATTAGTGAGACACCATAAATTTAACGTTATAATTAATAAAATCAATATATAAACACACTATATTTTAGGTCATATAGATAGCATAATCACAAGTGAATAAGTGTATGTGTTGAAATAGGAATAGAAAATTAATGATGTTTTTGATATAATATCAATTAATTATTATCATTATTGTAATTTATAGAGTGTCAAAACGAGGTCGGCTCCCGACCCGTCTCATGGCTCGTCTGACGATTCACTTGCATATCTATATAATCAACTATTACACGTTACATTAGTCTTGTTATATAATCATTCACACGATAATATACGATTAGTATATCAGCTGCAACCATCTTCTCACAAACAGAACATGTCCATTCCATGTCAGGATTTCTGTCATTGATAAGAAATCACTGCCTTCTAATTGTTAATCTGGACGGCTATGCCGCCTTAAATATTTATTCATTATTGGACGACTGTACCACCTTAATTATTAATTTGGACCACTTTGCCGTCCGGATAGCCAGTTCGGTTTATTCCGTGTTAGAACCCGAGTCCTCGCGTATCTTGATCCAGATTGAGCAGGAGCAAAAAATTCTTCAGCGTTTTTTTTTTTGTGTTTTTTGTTTGACCATATTAAACAATCTAGTTGCTAATCAATTACACTAAAAATGATTTCGCACATGGCCGAGAAACGGCGTCCGTACAGTCCGAGAAACTGCACACAGGTCCGAGAAAGAACCAGTCATTGAAGATGAGTTTAATGGTTGCACTCGTCAATCGAACGGTGGCAACATAGTTCACACCTTTGACTCTCTCATCCAATGCGTACATACCGAGCTCTTCTTGTGTTAGCGTCGAATGCTTGGTCCTAGAGGGTCGGTTGGAATCTTCGAGCTTAGCATTGAGGACAACCAATTGTTCTAGAACCATCTGCATGGTCTGATCATTTCATTCCCTTGGCTGATCTCTAGAGTACTCGCTCGGAGCGTCCGCCGCTGTTTTAAAGTTGAGTTCCTTTTTTACGTGTTATCCGGTAACGAGTCATGTTTATTGAACACGTATTTAATGAATCTTGCTCGATGAACTAATGAACTATTCAACGAGCTTTTTTGTTTTTAAAAAAAATAATTTATATAAAAAAATCTAATATAATTTTATATTCCTTTTTTCATATCATTCATAATATTATAAATATCATAATTATTATGATAGTAATAATTATACATATTAAATAAAAATTAGAGTATAAATATGAAAATATTATTAAAATATATTTTGTTGTTATTATCTATTTAAATTATTTTTTATTGAACTATTATTAGATTATTTTTTTATCTTTTGAAATCTCAACCAATACTTTTTTATATAGTTTATGATATTAGACTTTTATTAATTTTTTATGTATTTATTTAAATTTATAGTTAAATTTGGAATAAATATAAATAAAAAATATTATATATTTTTGGTTCAACGAAGTGACTCGTTTAGGTCGGAAAACTAGCGAACGATCTGAATCGAGATTTTTTTGGTTCGTTTTCTAACGAGCCTAACGAGTTGAATCCAAAATGATCTGAACCAAATAAGACGAGCTTCAAACGATCCGAGTTGGCTCGTTTGAGTTTGACACCCAATTTCTCATGTATATTGTTTTGAAAATTCCATTCACTTTCACAAAAGTATGCGAATCTCGCAATTTTGACCTCGTAAATAACCCTTTGATTTTTTCATTGGAGAGATATATACACACACAGAAGTGAATAACTGATGGATTATGCTTTTGGAATTTAGTAATTAGGAGCGTAAACAACAACAAAAAAAAAAACAAAACAAACCCAAATCGAATCTGGATCAAAATCTAATTTTATTTATTTTCATTTTATATTTTTCAAATTGAAATCGGCGAACCTAGCGAACATGAGAAAAACAAAGCGAAAATAAACGACATTTTAATAAAACCTAATGATATACCAAATTACCAATTTGGAATAAATTCCTAAAATGAAATAAATCTAACCAAAAGATACCAATTTGATTAATTCCTAAGTTGAAGTTCAGTGAACAACTTTCAAAACAAAAATCTCGTGTATATGTATAGCGATTGATTCTTTCTCAACCAATACTTTTTTATATAGTTTATGATATTAGACTTTTATTAATTTTTTATGTATTTATTTAAATTTATAGTTAAATTTGGAATAAATATAAATAAAAAATATTATATATTTTTGGTTCAACGAAGTGACTCGTTTAGGTCGGAAAACTAGCGAACGATCTGAATCGAGATTTTTTTGGTTCGTTTTCTAACGAGCCTAACGAGTTGAATCCAAAATGATCTGAACCAAATAAGACGAGCTTCAAACGATCCGAGTTGGCTCGTTTGAGTTTGACACCCAATTTCTCATGTATATTGTTTTGAAAATTCCATTCACTTTCACAAAAGTATGCGAATCTCGCAATTTTGACCTCGTAAATAACCCTTTGATTTTTTCATTGGAGAGATATATACACACACAGAAGTGAATAACTGATGGATTATGCTTTTGGAATTTAGTAATTAGGAGCGTAAACAACAACAAAAAAAAAAACAAAACAAACCCAAATCGAATCTGGATCAAAATCTAATTTTATTTATTTTCATTTTATATTTTTCAAATTGAAATCGGCGAACCTAGCGAACATGAGAAAAACAAAGCGAAAATAAACGACATTTTAATAAAACCTAATGATATACCAAATTACCAATTTGGAATAAATTCCTAAAATGAAATAAATCTAACCAAAAGATACCAATTTGATTAATTCCTAAGTTGAAGTTCAGTGAACAACTTTCAAAACAAAAATCTCGTGTATATGTATAGCGATTGATTCTTTGAATATTTGTTAATATTGTGATTAATTTATTATGTGATTAATTTATCATAAGTTAAATAAATACATCATGTCGAATAATTGCAGGATCCAATGAGGAAGGAAGAACAATTTTTACACAAATGACAATGTCTAGGTCTTTTATTATAATAGTAGATTCCGAAATCAAACAGCTTGAGAGCAAATAATCTGTAATTAAATAATAATTACACATTAAGCAAACTTAGAAATCGCTAATCACACACTTGGAGCAACCAGAAACCAGAAAGGAATCAAGCAGCCACTAAAAAGATCACACACACAATCACAAACAGTGCAGAGGGCAGAGCGTAGGTCATGGCGTTTGGTTCCTGGGCGGAGGAAAACGAGGAAGATAAGGAATCCAAGTTGCCGGATCTCTCCAATCGAAAGCCGGGATAGTCGCCGGAGGGTTTCCGAACGGAAGCGACGGGAACGGCAGAGACGGCAAGGGAGGCAGAGTCGGGTACGGCCATGGGAACCAGTACGGAGGAAGGTAAGGCCAAAAGAGCTTCGATTCACGTAACGGGTTATCGCGGCGGTTGCTCCTCCGTCCTCCGCCGCCGCGGCCGCCGGAGCACAGGGTGGTGTTGGGCTTCGAGGGTTTGTAACTCAGGGCGGTCAAGCTGTAGATGCACAGCTTGTCTTGCTTGGATTTGACAGAGATTTCGTTGGTCGAGGTCTGGAAGACTGGGATGTTGCAGGCTCTGTCGGAAGTGCCGAGAAGCCGAGCTTGGCACTGAGAAGCTATGGCGATTCCGTCGACGCAGTCGACGCCATCGACGTGAGGTATTTCCACTTTGTAAACCCCACTTCTGTTGGTTGTTCTGTTCACAGATATGTTCATTTCCTCTGCTGTTTCTGGCGAGTTCGCTTTGAATTTGCAAGAGACATGAACTTCCACACCTGATCCATTGCAAGAGAATCAAGAACTCTGTTTTCAAAAAAAAAAAACAGATAGAAACAAGACCAAACTCGCTATCCAATTCTAGATTCTGGTTTTGGCTCCTGGTTTTGTCCATTTCTCATAAAGAAACATCAGGTTTTTGTAGGAATCTACTGGTCATGGTGGTTTTGGAATTGCTTCAGTTCATAAGAAACATAAGCTGGAAAAGAGGAACAGATCCACCTGAGTAGCGAGTGCATTACAGACATTCATGGATGGTTTTTTGCAGGATTTGCTAAACCGATTTACCCAAATCATAAACCAACACAAATCACGCAAGAACTCAAGACCCTTTTGGGCAATATCATTGCAAATTTGTGAAACTCGTGGAACATGGCATATCAAACAAGCTGTTTACCTTGCAAGAAGTAGCTCTGTCTGGAGAAAGTGTTGCTGGAACACGTGTCGCAGTAGACAACCCCGACGACGGTGATCCGAGAAGAAAGATCGGATCTTCCTACGGGTGGCCGGCGGCTGGAAGCTTCTTGAGTCAAGCAAGAAGCTAAAATCAGCAGAGGAAGAAGGAGAAGAGCAGCAAGAGAAGGAGGAGGATACATTGCGTGGTAACAGACCTTCTCTCCCTCTTTCTCTGTGTGGGTTTCGGCCAATATTTGATCTCGTGAGTGTTTTAAGCGTTTGTTTTGTTGCATATATTCGCATATTCAGCCCGTGAGCAAGTTCCTCTTTTTTTATACAACGCTACAAAACAAAGACATGTGAATACCCCCCTTTTGGCTTCATTCTACTCCCAAATCATTATAGAGAGATGCATAGTAGCAGTAATAGTAAGTCTATCCCCTCAAATGCTATATTTGCTTCACTTGTGTTCAGATTTACCTGCTAATTAGGGTCTTAATTGGATGGATTTTGAAGACATTTACTTACATGTTATCTGGTTTAAAGATATTTTCTGCGATATGGGTATCGTCCAAAACTTAAAACCGAGGAATTGAGTATCATCTTCTTCATTTCCAAGTTTAAATTATGAAGTTTAAACGATCAGAAATTTCTGGGTTTTGTTGTATTTTATTTAAAACTCTGATCTTGAAGAGAAATAGCTTTCATATTATATATATATACACGCTACTTGTCTTGTCTACTTACTTATCGCCATGTGAGAAGTTGTCCGAAAACGAAGCCTTTGTCGTAGTCTTACACGACTTACTCAAAGAAGCAAATGGCTTTTGCACTTTTGTATCTTGGTTCAGAAATGCGCTGAGGCTTCCCGAGGCGCGAACTCTGAACCTTGAGAATGTTCACAAACCATTCGAGCAACAAGAAAGACGTTACCAGCTTCTCTTTGGTTCTCTTCTCCCATTTCTTTTTTGTTTTTCTTTTTTCTAGGCGCGTGCCTCCGCCTCCGGTCAATGCACACCGGAGGCACGCCTCCTGCAAATCGCGTCGCCTAGGGTTCAGGATGCGATCTGGGGTCCATCTAGGCACACCTTTTTTTTTAATATGTTGGAGAATCTGTCCTACAGTTCTTTGGACCGGATCCCGAAACATTAGGTCTCGTGTATCTTATGATCCATGTACGGGTAGACGCGAATCGGATATCCCAGTTTTTCGATTTCAATTGTGTCCCTCGGGAGTTTCTCGATTGAGAACCCGATTTTGGTCTTTTGAGGGTTAGATATTCGACGAGGAAAGAAAGGGGTTAAATTTTGATCGATGAAACCCTAAGCTTTAAGAAACTATGGGTGATCACTTCAGTTTGGTTCTTTCGAATCGAACCGTAGCGAATCAAAAAAATCAATATCATTTTTAATCTAAACCGTTAAAAAATTTCATATACAGTTATGTTTTAAGAATATCGAATAAAATAGAATAGAACAGAATTGAATATTAAAAATTTATTAAAAAAAAGCCCTGAAAATTTTTAACAAAAAATAAACATTTTTCTGAATCAAAATGAAATAAAACTGAATATATTATTATTGAATAATTCGAGTTGTCCGATGCTCACACGCGAGGTCGCATTATTCGCCGTGACTTGGGCTTTCCGAAATTCGGAATCCAAGTCATAATTTTTGGGTTTATTTTATTAATTAATATAATATTACCAATATAACTTAAATTAACATCTATTATAACTTCACACCCTCATTTTATAGTTTGAATTAGAAGTTCAAAGTTTTTTTTGTGAGATAGGTTTTAAATATATATATATATATATACACACACTAACCCATCAAATATTATCTGTTGCGAAATATACCAATTATGAATTTCGAAATAAATTTTACATTTTTGACACTTGAATTCACATGGAATTTCTGCAAGGGAAATGGGTGGAAGGAACACATGGTGTGTTGGATGTGGGAAACACAGACGATCCAAGCCCATTACCCATATTCGGTAGAGAATCATACAAAGCAACATAGTATATCTTAGTGCACATATATGACCATGCACCCCGAGAAAATATAATATGTACTAATATATTAAATAGCAAAAATAAATTTAAGATTAAAAAAAAAAGAGAAGACAATATCGTTTCAATTTTCTGAAAACAATGGAATATGCTTAGATTGCCTTGCTATAATGATGATGATGATGATGATGATGATGATGCAAAAGATACATACGAGAGGAAGATAAAATGGAAGTCGAACCAAATGGACAACTTGCCAAGTTATACCACTGGAGCATGAAAACGACGTCGTATTCCATAGCCATTTCGGAAAACGACGGCGTATTCCATTATTTTTAATATCATAATGTCAATTTGATGGTCAATGCAATAGAATGCAAACACTTTGTGTGCATATTAATTTATTCATATTATTATCTTAATTATATTTTTTTGATGGATTGATGTGATTAAGATTCTAGTCAAACCTCTTCCTCACTTTGTGTGAGAGGCAAATAACTCGAAAATCAGATCTTTTGCTTTTGTTTTGGAATTTGATTTTATTATATTTATATATATAGAATATTTATATACATATATATAGATATATTTTTACCGATTAATTCATACGAATCATCAATTTTTTTTACTACCAGAAGTTTTATTAAATGAAAATTTAATTTCCATTATCTACAACCGCGAGTAAAATGGTTAAAGATTTGGCGTTTGCTTCTTTTTATCACTTTTGGACTTAGAACGAAGAAAATATCTGAATAAAGCTTTTACCTTTTCCATTTCTAGCGGATAAAATGATTGTGAAATGGAGAAAAAGGAAATTTGTTTCCTCGAATTGGGGATTATGATTATGGGCGAAGAAATTCGGGGAAGAAATTTACTGGGTTTCCTCCTCATTCTTTACTCGCAAATGGGATTAGTGTCAACACTCGCCAACGACCAAAAAACTCCTCTCTCTCTCTCTCTCTCTCTCTCTCTCTCTCTCTCGATTCGTTTTCCAGTTCGAATCTAAACAGTGGGGTTTTCTTTATATTCTCTGAAATGCCCAGGATTTCAATTTTCTCGTTCTTGCCTCTGGTAAAAGTTTGATGGTGTTTCTCTGTATCATTCGTCCCTGTTCTTTGATTTGTCTGTAAGATTCGAGGGTTTCTGGAAATTTTTTGTTTTTCCTCGGAAAACTTGGTGGAGATGGGTTGTTTCTCGTGTTTCGATTCGAAGGAAGAAGAGAAGCTGAATCCGCGGAAGGAGTCTGAGGATCGGAAGCAACCCCAGCCGACAGTTCCCAATAACGTTTCTAGTTTATCTTCCGGTTCGTGTTACTTTCGTTTTTTTTTTTGTTCATATGTTTGGATTTGTTCTGTTCTATGTTACATGCCCAAGATCTGGCAGTTCGATCCTATTATGGTTTATCTGTAAAGTTACTGTTGAAGCACTTGATCTCCTGACTGTTGCCGAGCGTATGAAATTCTGGAGATTTTGTTTTTGATGGGCTTGTTCTGATTGGACTCTTGTTTACTTTGCGAGTGATGATGGACGGAATCGAGATTCTTTGGATGAATTTCACTTGATCTGATCTGATTCGAAGTTGTATAGGATCGAGAGTTTTTGAAGCTGAATTGCTTTTTGAGTGTAACATTGTGTTATTTTTCACTGACTTGCTCGAATCAAATACAGAACATGGATAATTTAGGTAGCCGTGGAATTCGATTTGGAGGTTATTGGACTTGATGTTCTGCTTGGTGGTTTATAAGAACAGAGGATCAATTAGGGGGATTTGTTTCTTATGATCACTGTAACTTGAAAAAGAAGTGCGTCTTTTGAAGGATCAGGATCCCATGATCCTGCTCGATCGATATTGTTGATGCATATCAAATCTTGATGCCCTTGAAGTTTTAGCTTCCGAAATCACGGTCTATAATTTCTGAACCGGGGATGAAAGGACTGTGATTGCATAAGTTTTGATCATGTTTGCAGGTGGGGAAAAGCTCAGATCAAGGAGCAATAGAGCATCGAAAGGGGAGCTACCAATTCCAAAGGATGGTCCTGGTGGTGTACAGATCGCTGCTCAAACGTTTACTTTCCGTGAACTAGCGGCTGCAACAAGGAATTTCCATCCCGACTCTTTCTTGGGCGAAGGTGGATTTGGACGTGTCTACAAGGGACGGCTTGAGAGCACTGGTCAGGTAAATCGTTTATTATGCCCTTCTGGAAATCAGAACAGAGTAGAACTATGGAGGTTCTGTTTCAGTGATCACAGTCTTTGACGATATTAAGACTTGGTCCCCTAGGCTGTAAGAATTTTGCTTCAATACCGGATTTGATATGAAACGTATGTGAAAGACTTCTGCAGTAGTGTTTGGAGCATCATGGTCTGCCTTGTGATTATATTGTCATATGAGCTTAACAGAGTTACCGAGCATTGTAGTGTTTGTGTTTGCCTTCCGTAAATTTGTAAACTTTCATGGTGTTTAATCACTGGACTTACTTTCTCGGTTATTTTCCAAGGTTGTTGCTGTTAAGCAACTGGACAGGAATGGTCTGCAAGGTAACAGAGAGTTTCTGGTGGAGGTTCTTATGCTCAGTCTTCTTCATCATCCAAACTTAGTGAACCTGATCGGTTATTGTGCTGACGGTGATCAACGTCTCCTTGTCTACGAATTTATGCCCTTGGGGTCATTGGAAGATCACCTTCATGGTAAATCTTTCCCGCTTTCGATCTTTATCAGTTCTGGCCATGACAGATTCAACAAATTTTAGCCTCGAAAAAGTAGGAAAATCTTGTGCATCTGTGAAAGAGTCATCCTTTCGGAGGTTTGGGTGAAAGCAAGGAAATGGTTCCTCAGTATTATCGGGTTACCATCTGGCAAAAACGGTAATTTTTCTCTCTTTCGGGCCTCTCCCCTTTTCAGATCTTCCGCCAGATAAGGAACCACTCGATTGGAACACGAGAATGAAGATAGCTGCTGGCGCGGCGAAAGGGCTGGAATTCCTGCATGATAAGGCCAACCCTCCAGTTATCTACAGAGATTTCAAGTCCTCAAACATATTGTTGTATGAGGGTTTCTGCCCGAAGCTATCGGATTTCGGGCTTGCTAAACTCGGACCGACGGGGGACAAATCTCATGTCTCCACGAGAGTTATGGGCACTTACGGTTATTGTGCTCCCGAATACGCCATGACAGGACAGTTAACGGTTAAGTCGGATGTTTACAGCTTCGGTGTAGTTTTCTTGGAGCTGATTACTGGACGGCAAGCTATAGACAGCACAAAGCCTCATGGAGAGCAGAACCTTGTGGCTTGGGTAAAACTCAAAGCATCCCTTTTATCATTATCATAGCAGTTCATTACAGTTATCTTCTTTGTTTTGTCTCAATCCCAAAAAAACAAAGGAGCAACCTTTGCACAGAAAGAATGAAAAAAGGTTCTTTTTTTTGGGGTTTAATCAAATATGGTACCCGAAGAAATCTTAGTCGATTCCGTATGTAGTATATGAATTAGGGGTGGACACGGGTTGGTATTCGAGATTGTCGGGTCATTTAAACCCAAATCTGAATGTTTGGGGTTTCACGAGATGTTCTGTAATCTCGGATCCGTTTTAGGTGAGTACCAGGAAGTTGGATACTCGAGATAATTTTTGGATATATTAGATACTCGAATTCGAGTTTAAAATACGAAATTTCGAATTTATTCAAAATGAATATGAGTTTAGGCACTTTCTACACGATGGATTTGGTTATTCAGAGCTTTCTTGGGTTGTCTTTTTTATGCGTTTAAACAGGCGAGACCACTGTTCAACGATAGGCGAAAGTTCATAAAACTGGCGGATCCTCGGCTGCAAGGGCGGTTTCCGATGCGTGGACTCTACCAAGCTCTAGCCGTGGCATCGATGTGCATCCAAGAGCAGGCGGCTACCCGCCCTCTCATAGGAGATGTGGTCACTGCCCTCTCGTATCTCGCAAACCAAGGCTACGACCCTAACAGAGACGAGAGGAGAAGCCGGGATGAACGAGGGGGCAAGCTACTGTCGAAGAACGACGAAGGAGGAGGGTCGGGGAGGAGATTCGATCTGAGCGGCTCCGAGAAGGACGATTCCCCGAGAGAGACGGCTAGGATATTGAACAGAGATGTCGACAGGGAACGGGCCGTGGCGGAAGCCAAGATGTGGGGAGAGAATTTGCGGGAGAAACGAAGGCAGAGCGCACAAGGAACATCGGATAGCAGCAACGGGTAGTGTCGTTTTTTCGCTATCCGATCTTCTTGATCTAACTTTTTCCTTTTCGGGCATTGATCGAATCTGAAACACAGAAACAACGGAGAAGAAGATGATGAACATCGATCCGAGAATGTACATTATGTGATGCTGCTATACAAAAAAAAAACGGAAACTGTGATTCAAAAACCTTGTATGTTCTAAAAGGCCCAATGATTTGGATGCGTATTTATCATGGGCCGTTAAAAGGCCTAGTATCATGGGCCGTTAAAAGGCCCAGTACTGCTCGCTCTGGACAAAGTATAAAAATAATTTCAAAACAATACATAAAGGATAGGGTTCACATTTTATATTTTTATTAGATTTTTTAAAATTTGTTATTTTAGACATTTTATATCTATTTATTTTAATTTATTTTATTAAAATATTTATCTGTTTTCTAAAAATTAATTATTTTGTTATTTTAAATATAATTATCTTGAATATGAATTCTTTTAATTTAACAAAAATTTTACTTCAAATTCGTTTAATCGGATTCGGTTTCTAACTGACAGTATATATATATATATATATAATTCTAATTGGGAGCAAAGTTAATTTTAACATGTGTCAAACATAATATTCTTATGGAGACACATATAAAATTTGGTTAAAATGTGATAAAGTTTATGAAAAAAAAATATTACTTTTTAATCAAATAAATGGGGATATATGCCCTTTGATGTCAAATTGGTCCGTCCATGTGTATATATATATATACATAATACATACACATGCACATACTTGAGAAAAAATAATAATTTCTCTTTTTAAAGAATTTTGGAAAGAAAAGGGTAAGAAAAAGCAGGTATTAAAGAAGGCGACGGAAGTCTAACCTTTAATTGGCTGGAATTTGTATCTTACAAGTTTCCAATAAGAAAAAAAAAAACTTTTTTGTCCAATTGAAATAACAGGATATTGCACGTGGCACACACGTGCGAGAATACGAATCAGCACTTTTAATTTATGGTAACATGCCATAGAAAGCCACACTTATTCCCTCACTTTTCTTTCTTTCTTTGGTTTATAATATATATGAAATTTTAAAATTGAAAATAGTATCCCTCACACACACACACACACACATATATATATATATATATATGATAATTTAATTTTAATTTAAGGATCATGAAACACGGGCAAAGACAGAATGGTAAGCACTTAACTTATTGACTTAGAATATATATTATGTAAACAAGAAAAGAAGTTGACAAATTATAGCTTCGACCCGAAGAAACTGATATCATTCACAAAGAAAAATGACCAAAATATATATGTATATAATAGATATGGTCAAATTTGAAATGTATCATGATTTTGACTTTTTAATTGCATCTAAATTTGACTTAATTTTCAAATAATAATTAAATAATTTATATCATATTAATTTAATGGTATAACTCTTTCATTTCTAAAACACCAATATACATGTAACTGAGAAAACCATACCATCAAAATTTAAATAAATCCTAAAAAAATCTATTGCTATAAGATAATTGAATATGTTAAACTTAACAAAAAAACAAAATACAATAGATATCTAAATGATTTTATTCACACACACACACATATATATATATATATATATATATATATATAAACGCATACAATCAGAATTGGATAAAAGAAATAGGGATTCTAAGACATTGGTGCAGTCATAAATGACAAATGATTGCTTGTACGTGTTATTCTGTAGGCCTAAAGAAATGGCTTTCTGAACAAAGTGGGAAACCTAAACACAAAAACAATGCCATCATTCATATCATTATTATAGCTTTGAAAAAAATATATTCCATATTAGATTCTCCGAGCTGCATATATATATATATATATATATATATCCAATTTTAATAATTTTGTTATATTCTAAAATAAAATAAGATGATACACAATTTATGATGTATTATGATGGAGACCATCGGTATATTATATTTTACAAAACAATCACATTACTTTGCGAACACTTCTCCGAGCAGCAAATTATTCCTTTTTAAATATAAAATAGACAAAATAAAATAAAACGATTCCTATCGCCAAATATAAAATATGGTTTTATTTGCAAATCATTGCAAGAATACTTCCCTTTTAATTGTTCTTTTATTAATTCCAAAGTCCATCCCATGTTGTATAATCAAAGAAATATTTCTTTCCCGGGTACTACAAAAAAACGATATATCTCTATCAATGTATATATACCAATTCAATTATTATAATAAAAACATGTATTGTATTTTTTTTGGTAAAAAAAAAACATGTATTGTAAGCAAGTCTTTGGGACGTAATTCTATATTCTCGATGCCTAAATTCTTATACGTATTCATTGATTACTTCAACCGATTTGGATTTCTAAAATTGTGTTAACATTTTACACACACATATGTATACATGCACATATATATATATATATGTATGAATAAGCGATTTCTAATTCGAATTAAACCCTTAATTATCTAATTTTTTTTATATCGATTTGGTTTTCTAAAATTGTGTTAACATTTTACACACACAGATATATATATATATATATATATATATATAAAATGCGTGCACTGGCTTTGTAGGAATCTTATATCCATTTGTATATATTTTATTGAAAAAATAATCAGAAAACTATAATTTCTTAACATTAAACTATAAAGAGAGGGGCTTTTGATTAACTATAATGTCAATGGTCTAATCTAATTCCAACTAAACCCTTAATTATCTAATTTTATATCGAATTGGATGTCTAATCATATGATTTAACCACTTAAAACACTCTAATACCTATTGAAAATCAGTGTTCAACCTAGATATACACTTGAGGAATTTTCCAACGAGTTACGAAGGGTAGTTTCGTCATTTGAAGTAGTGCATATGGCCAACCAAAGCTATCAATCAAAGAAGTGATTAGCAATTTGGAGACAAGAAGATTTGGGGAATCGGGAGGTAGGGGCAAAAAATGGAAACAGAGAAAGAGATGCGTACGTGGGAGAGGTTGCATTTGTCGTCATACGACATGGGTGCCTGTCGTTTTGGGAGCACGTGTGGGACCCGTGACCCCTCCCTTGACCCGACCCGACCCCTCTTCTCATCATTTTCCTAATACCAATTCTACCCCTTCGTTTTATTCTGTCGCGTACATTAAATAATTACTTTTAAGTCGACTTTTTATTAATTTTTCTAGACCAAATTTGAATTAAACAGTAAATATCTTTTTCAAATGTTTATGTACACTTATAAAAATCAATATAACCGAATAACAACCTTTAAGTAACTCACAAATCTATTATTATATATCTAACACCCTATTTTTTATTTAAAAAAAACTACAAAGACATTCAAAGAAAGAGGGGGTTTATAAAAGTTATAGAAACTCAATGGAGATAGCACTATTCAAAACTATTCAATATATAAATTTCATTTAACGTTACACGGTTTTATTTGGTACAAATCTATCCAAATAACCAAACTTTTGATAAATTAAATGACAATATCATATTGTGTAAAATAATTCTGATATATATAATTATATCATGCCTACTTTATACGCTTTTAACAGTAGATCATTCACTGAAAACTAAAGTTTATTTTTCATATTATTTTAAAACTTTAGTAAATTCAATTATATATTCGGAAAGACTGTCGTACACGACGGGTTTTACAACTAGCTTTATATATGATACTTTGCCTTACCGTTTCTCAAAATTAATATTTTTTTTGGGATTTCAAAGTTTTGGGTTTAGAATTAAATACTCCGATTTTTTTTATTTAATAATTGACCGCCTCTAATGACATTCATAATGTAGAAGCAATTGACACGAAAGCAATTATTTAATATTTAAATAACGGCTCACCCCCCAATTGATATCCTTGTTTTGAGTTAAACACATAAAACAAAAATAATGAGATTTCAACAAAAAAAAAAAAAGAAGTGAGGAGGATGCCGTATATGTATATATATATATATAGTATTTTTATACTTGATTGGAAGTCCTTTGCAAAATACAAAACTAAATATCGAACAATTTATAATAAAGTATTGTTTATGAAATGAAAAACACTATTATCTTGGCCATTACGCAAGTCATTCAAGAGTATACACACACACACACTGCAGTTCCGAAAGATTTATCCTTATTAGATATTAATGATGCATCTATTAATTTAAGGTTTTTTTTTCTTTTTATCTTAATAATCCACAATTATGTTTTCAGGTGTAAAACCAAATTACCATGAAAACAAATATATATATATATATATATATATATATATATATATATATAATTCAATGGCGTCAAAATGGGAAGGAAGGAGATTGAGTAATGAGTGTGATTTACGCCTGAAAATGGTCGTCGTCTTCTTTGGAGAATTTTAATCAAATGACCCACTTGGGTCGCACTACGTGTACACCAAAAAAAACATAACATTTTTTTTGTTGAAAAGACGAAATTACCCTTAATGAATACGCAATTTTTATCTGTTCGAAAACAACTTCGTTATTACGACTTCGTAATTAATTCTAAATATAGTTACAATTGATTCTAAAAAAGGTGGCAAAAAAATCATTGATTTTATTTTAGTTGTATATCAGTTATATGTTAGTCGTAATAAGATTGCAAAAAATAAAACGAAAAGGGTATTTCGGACTTTTTCAACCGAAAAATGGGTTAAAATTGAAATTTTTTTTTTTTTTTCCGGTGGTGTAGACTGAAATTACTGCGAACCAAAGTGGGTTATTTGAGTTTGTCCACCACTTACCCTTATAAAAATCCCTCCTTGTTTCCCTCTCCATACACCGCATACCCACCTCTCTCTCTCTCTCTCTCTCTCTCTCTCTCTCTCTCAATGTCACTTTGTTCCGTTTCGCTCTGATTCCGCTCTGCTTCAACGGAACGGCGAACGGGGTTTTTCACTGATTTCTCGCTCGTTTTCCTTCTTCTGGGTTCTTTTGATTCTTCTGTATGAAACCCATGGTAAAGCCCAATTTCGTGAAGAATGGTGTTCTGAGATTGCCTCCTGGGTTTCGATTTCATCCCACGGACGAAGAACTCGTCGTACAGTACCTCAAGAGGAAAGTCCTCTCTTGCCCTTTGCCTGCTTCCATCATCCCCGAATTCGATGTTTGCAGAGCCGATCCATGGGATTTACCTGGTGAGCTTGAATCGTTTTCCCCCCTCGAATCCAAAATGTTTGTCCACAGTTCGATGAATTCCCTTCTTCTCCGGAGATTTGGGTATTGATTCCGGGACGGGGTTTCCGATTTCTGCAGGAGATTTGGAGAAGGAGAGGTACTTCTTCAGCACGAGAGAAGCCAAGTACCCGAACGGGAACAGGTCGAATCGGGCGACCGGGTCGGGTTACTGGAAAGCAACCGGAATCGACAAACGGGTCGTGACGACGAGAGGAAACCAAGTCGTGGGTATGAAGAAAACCCTAGTCTTCTACAGAGGGAAACCTCCTCATGGGTCTCGAACCGATTGGATCATGCACGAGTATCGGCTCGCTTCGCCTCCACCAGTGAGCAAACTTCCGAGTGAATTACTGTCACTAATCGCAATTAAGCCCTTAGTTAAATCAGATGATCAATAATCTTTGCGTTGTTTTGGGGGTTTCTGCAGAGTTCAATGGATCGGGCAGAGAACTGGGTACTGTGTCGCGTCTTCCTGAAGAAGAGAGGCAACAGCAGCAAGAACGAAGACGACGTCGTTTCATGCGGTTTTAGCAGAATCAGATGCAGCAACAGCAACGATACCGACGGTCATAATGTGATTAACAACAATGATGATGAAGATGATGATAGGAAGAAATCGAGGCCCGTATTGATCGATTTCATGAGAAAAGAACAGAGTAAGGATTCGAATTTCGCGGCGAGTTCCGGTTCGGATTCGAGCGTAGTGACGGCGGAGATTTCTTTGGACGACGTCGAGGAGAGCAGTAGTTGCAATAGTTTCCCTTGTTTCAGAAGGAAAATTTGATATGAATGCTTTAACGATGATGATGATGATGATGATGATGATGATGATGATGAATAAGACGGGCTCTGTTTTTATTTTTTTATAACGTTTGGTGGTTTCGTTTTGGGTTTGTTTTATATTCCGTGAAGAAGTGAAAACAGTCGGTTCAAGAAAAAGAAATTCGCCCATTTCGTATGAGTATTGTATCAAAAAAATTTATACGATAGTTAAGGGAAGGCAATGTGTAACTAATACTTGTTTATGCATGTGATCATGTATAAATTGATATCATACATCTGTATGCATTATAACGGATGATGATGATGATATGATAATGTGACCTATTTTGTCAAAAGTATACAAAACGTGATTGGAGTAATGAGTGGTTGAATCTGTCAGAAAAGGTCTTCCTTATTATTATCTCGATAAATCCCCTAAAAAACCTTCCATTTCCAAAAAATACGTACAAATAAACTTTCAACTTGAAAAACTATCATTCAATCTCAATCTCCGAACTTGTAACTTGTCACTAAATAAAACTTCGAACTTGTAAATTATTGTTTTAATAAACCTTTGACCGGTTTGATCACAATTTCAGGTGATCGAAAATACACGTATTAACGAATTGCTGATATCACCTTATACACGTTATCAATTTTAATTTAAAAAATAACATCAGCAATCCGTCAATACGTGGATTTCCGATCACCTGAAATTGTGGTCAAACCGGTCAAAGGTTTATTAGAACAATAATTTACAAGTTCGAAGTTTTATTTAGTGACAAGTTACAAGTTCGGAGATTGAGATTGAATGATAGTTTTTCAAGTTGAAGGTTTATTTGTATATATTTTTGCAAGTTGGAGATTTTTTAGGAGTTTTAACCCTGGTTTATATTTTTTATACGAATGACAAAAATCTTTGTGTTTAATATTTGCGAAAGAATTATTTTGCTCATTTTTTAACTTTATTGGGAACAAAATAATAACAAAAAATAATTTCAAATACTGAATTATGGGTTTGAAACCGTAAATACATGGATACAAAAAGTTTTTTTTTTTTTAAGATGGAAATTTTGAAAAACAAAAAGGAATAACCTTTTCGAATGGAGGAAAAAAGAATATGAACTTTCCCTAGTAGAAAGATCACTAACACAAGAACCAAATTCCTTGTTAAGATAATATTATCTTCCACAAGTATCATCTCACTCCCTATATATGTGCTAAGATTCCTTTTTTTTTTGGGATTAAATGTGTTAATTAAGATTATTGAGGTCGAACCAGATTTCATTCCAAGCTTCATCTCTACTCCATCTTCGATCTTTCTGACAAAAAATTAAAAAAAATTATTTTTGTCACAATACAAAATTTAATAAAAAAATATATTAATTGAAATAAATAGGTGTTCGTATTTAAACTTAATCTGATAGGTTTTGCTTATATAATGCGGTGGTGATATGCGTCTCTAAATGTCTATATATAATATGAAATGACAACTATTATATGTATTAAAATATACATTAGCACCATTGGACATGTATTCCACTCAATCAAGAAACTCCAAAGCTTACACTTGATTTCAAAAATATATACATAATTGGTTCGAATATATAAATCCCAGACCGAATTATACATTCTTAATAGATTGAAAACAAAACTTTTAGAAAATAAGTATATTTGTAAAAAAAAAAAATCAATCTAATCGAATCTAAGTAGAAACTGAACTGAAAATAAAAATTGACGAAAATTAAATATGTGTAGTTTAAAAAATAAATATGAATATAGTGTTCCTTGTGTCACAAGGAAAGGTAAAATAGATAACATTTCAATATGGATTCGTCGTCCGAATGTTTCTGTTTTATTTTGTTTTTCCTGCAAGTTGCTTCTTTGACTCGTATACGGACAATTTAAATAATTACACCCCTAATTATCGTTTACTTAAATAATGCTGATAATTAAGAGCGGCCATGCATACAATTATTTTTTTTTTTGCGTATTATTGATTGATAAACTTGATTAAATAAAACGACGTAACTTCATCTACACGTCTCCCACGTGCATGGACGACTTCCTTATCATGATCACAAAGTTATCTTTTCGGGATTGTGCTTAATGTTTTGCTTTATATACTAATAATTTGATATATATTATGCTATGGAGTATAGTAATGATAACGATATGATAATCATATATTAGATTTCATATTTTTATTGGTAAAAAAAGTAACTCGAGCATTTTGTATTTCCATTTTACCGTTTTGCCACTTGTATGTGGGAAAGATTTCAAAAAAAAAATTAATTCATAAACTTGATTAAATCAAATCGAATAAAATATTTGTATAAAAAAGTTAAATAGATATATTTTCTTATAAAAGAAATACAGGAAAACACGCGAAGTTGCTTAAACTTAAACAGCCACATATAATAAACATAATGATTTTATCAATTGATGGAGTTTGGAACTTGTAATTTTATTTTATATATATATATAATAAAATTTATAAAGGAGAGGTGATGGAAAGTGCTGTCCAAGGCTGACTTGTGTTGTGTCGTCTGTTGTTTTTTTTATTATTATTTGAAAATTGAAAGTGGGGCAAAGGAGGAGACGTGGTAGTAAGAGACCGACTCTTTCACATCACAGAGCAATTCAATACCCACACGGAATCTGTATTGTATGATCGCACACGGTTATGTGTCATCTCCCAACCACCCATTTCAATAAACACACTTTAATCCTGTTTATACATTCCTAATCTACATTTTACACACCCTTTTAAATTTATTTAGAATCCCGCATCATTTCAATTGCCCCCAACCGCCACACCACATCAAGATTGTACATAAAAACAAGAGAGAATCTTTTGACAATTTCATGCAAATCCCCTTTTGTGGCTCTTGCCTGTTCCCAGAGAGGATGAGGTCGGTCACATGTCTGGACCAAACACAACAAGTTGCCTGAACTGTAAGCAAGACAGGATGAAAGATGCAACTTCCATGGCATCCATAGATGTCTATTTTGTAACTCCGCCAACCGCCAGAGAAAATTCAGCAAAATGGGGTTTGATTTTTCTTGGAAGTTGCGTGTAGAGAAGCAAAATCCCCCCGTGAGGATCAGCTTCAACTTTCTGAGACATGATGGATCACACAACCAATACAAATATATATATATATATATATGGACACCTACCAAGATTCAGTTTGATCTTCCTTCATTGACAATGACCCTTTAAGAAAATATTATAGACATACAAATGATGCCATGGTCCCAAAATCAAAACCTTACAAAGAGAGCACTTCAAGGTTCCAAGAGGCAACTATACCATCTGCTTAGGAGCAGTGTTTCCAAGAAATAGGAGAAACTGCAGTGATGATAAGCTTGAGATTAACTATCAGACAAGGTTGATGCTTGGTGATTACCGCGTCACAGACACAGTTAACACCTGTAATGAGCTTAGGTCTGGCTTTTTCTCCTTGGCAAGCAACTCCCCAACTTATCAGCTATCAAATGCCTCTTATGTTGTGAGGGATTTCCAAAACCAAGTGGTGCCAAAATCAAGAGTATCAAACTTTCTTTTGAACTAGGAATCAATGGGAAGTCCGGTTATGATGCCCAATAATGCTGATGCAAGGATGAATTAGCAAACTTGTTGAAAGCTCTTCTAGATTGTCTATGGCTTCATTCGTGTCTATTGGCCTAAGTGCTGGAATTCGCTGTATTGACAACTCCATCAGGACATCTTAGAGGAGGGGAAGCTCCAAGCTTGCCCTTAGAACAGCCTACATAGTTGCAAAGAAGTAAGCGTTTTTGGAGGTCGACAACTCAACATTAGCTCTCCTACAACCTTAACTTATGGTCGGGGATGCTATCGCGAAACTCAAAATCCCACAATAGCTCCATGAAGATTTTAGCCAATCTACTAACCAAAAACCCTCGTCCCCCTTAAATACGATGCATTCGTCCAATAAACCGAAAACCCATCAAGGAAATGAGACGCGATTTCAGAGAAGTGGAAGCAAATGAATCCGATTTGTCTACGCCGTCGAACGAAACGACTCCGAGACCACGAGCCCTAAGAGGAAGAGAAGTACCTGCCAAACGCGGCGAAGGCTGGGTTTGGGCGTTGGCTTTACGGGTTGGGCCTCCATGAAGCCCTTTTATTAGTCATTGGGTTGTTTTGAAGGCCGTAAAAGCCCCCATGCCACGTAACATATGCATTAGCTGACATGGCAGATAGATTCAGCATTTGCATTTCCCAAGTTTTGATAAACGATTATATTATTTTGGATTAATTCCAAAAAATACCCTAAATTGTAATTTTTTTCCATAAAAATACCCCAATTTAAAATTTTGACGAAAAATTAACACCGTTATATATAGGGTATCGATTTGGCAAATATTATTAAATTAAAATATAAATATTAACAATATTTCTTGTTTCTCAAAAAAATCGTTTTTTTATTGGTAAAGCTCGTCGTCGACGCGCCGATGCCTAATTCATTTTCTTTGGTAATAATATTTTAAATCATAAAAATTAAATAAAATCAAATGCATATCGTCGATGTGAATAATAAGTAACAATTATAGAAACTTATCATTTGTTTTTTTTTATTGTATATACAAAATGGCAAATCTTTATTATATATATATAATGATTGAGATACAATTTATAGGAGGTTTTAACTGTTAAGTATATATTTTTATTGATGGAGTATTAGACGCAATTTTTTAACCTACAAATCACGCCATATTTTGTATATTAAATTTCTTAACATGAGAGAATCGCCAATCTATACGTTTTTATCGTTTTGAATTACTAATAGTTAATTACAAAAACACTTCAAAACACATTATTTGACTGTTGTATGAATTCACCACCGGTCAAATCCGCTTGTTAAAATCGTAAGGGATATACCATATAGTTGATTGTAGCAGTTGACATTAATTATTATTTAATAAAAAGCTTGTCTGCCTATGAATTCAATGCTCATATCGTACATGTTCTCTGAACCAAAGTTGGAGTTTCCTTGTTGTCGAATTTACAGAAGTTTAAGAAAGGAACTTTTATATATATATATATATATATATATATATATGTTATAATTGACTAAGTTTTTTTTTTTCTATAATTCGTAAGTTTACTGAGTTTCGCTCCAACTATAATCGGAGAAACCCATGTGAATACCATTTTTCAAATGAAGATTTGAACCTAAGGAGCTTTGCATGTTAGCTCACTGATGATGGTGAGCTCCTATTCCTAGAGGAAACAGATATCAATGATTCAATAGACTATATTTCTCATAACTCAGAGTATGCGTTCTTAAGTTTTTTTAATATTGAAATGTTTTTGTTTTTTATAATAAAAAATAACATCCAATATAATAAAAAATAATTTCGGGGTCTGGTGTAGTGGTTAAAGTGTCCATGATTCTCTAAGAGGTCATGGGTTCGATTCCACTCTCCAGCGATTCTGTCACCCTTTGGGTGGGTTCCTGCCGTTACAAAAAAAAAAAACGTTGATGATGATGATATGTAAATATCACTGTAAATGTTTTTATAATTTCCATTGTTTTTCTTGTTTGAATAGGTAATAAATGAGTTACGTGCTCCCGGAGAAAAGCCCTACAATTGGTACGATTTTTTACATTAATGCATATTTATTTATAGCTTATCCAATAAAAATGTGCTTAAAATCAATTAAGCTAAAATTCAAGACAAAAAAAAATTCACCAATCAATAAAAAGTTCTTCTCATTAATTATTTTTTTAATAACGAGAAAACTTGTTTAACCTAATGGCTCATTACATCTCATTCGACTTAAAAATCATGGTTGGTAATACCATTTTAAATGGGGTAAAACCATCACTCTTCCATGGCACATAAAAAAAGTACTAATGATATGTTTATTTATACATAATTTTTATTTAATATTTATTTTTATTCAAAACTTTTTAAAATTTAAGAATGATATGATATAGCACATCTGTACTTGTTATAAAAATGAATTGATATTACGCCTGCTAAAATAAAACTCGTTATGTCATGAAATATTATATTTGTTCTCTTACATTTCTCTTTCTTAAAAAAATAATATTCGTTTCTTAAATTGAAAAAAGAAAACACGTTTTGGAAAGATAGTTGTAGAAGTTTGGCGTTTACGCCACAGCAATATGTCGGAAAGCCGAAAGAGACAAGTGAGTAATTATGTGACAGATGCAGCAATATAAAAGTCACGTGTTCTAATATGTCTTTTGATACTTTGCTTGGGTATCACGTTTCCGTTTTTATTTCTTCCGTTGTCCCTTCGTAGGCAATTACTATACCTTTTTTATAATTCAAAAATTCATTATATCTTTAATCCGACTATATCTATTAAAAAATTGAAAAAAACCTATATGAATATTCTTATCGAGACGAAGACTGGATCCCGAATTAAAAAAAAAACTTTGTTCTCTTTTTTACCGGTTGAACCACCCAATATTGGATGCAAATAAAATGTTATGTACTCTCTGTAATTTTAAGTTTCATTTTTTATAAGTTAGAAAATAATTGTCAGATAATTACCTGTGTTGTTATCGTTGATAATCTAATGAAGTTGATAATTTTTCGTTTAATTATTTTGGGTGGACATGGAGTTAATGATCAATATCAGCACGTATATTTGTTAAAATAACACACGTAAACCGATAAACCTATATATGGTTATCTATTATGCTTAATTTATATATTCTCAAAATTATCATTTACTTATCGGTTTGAGGATAATGGATAGATAGAGTCTGACATACCAATATCTATATTTTGTTTGAATCCGAAATCAGTTTCCAATATCATATATAATATTTTGAATTTATATCACTTGACTGTAGATATATGAATATATTTATACCAAATACAAATATATATATATATATACACACACACAAATATGAAACGTGAATTTCGCGTTTTTTGTGGAGCATGATCTCTCGATGTGATTTTATCCTTATTATGCTTGAATTTCTTTTGTATAAAAACGCTTCGTGTAACGTGTGACGGCCGTTGATTATTTTGACTTTTCAGTCTAAAGGGAGGGGGGAAATGGACCGTCGTTAGAATGATAAATAGATTAATTGATGTAATCATAATCATGGTATGTATAATAATGTGTAAATACATGAATGACTAATACTATTATTGTCAATCTTTTGAAATATCGACATTTAATTCGTATACATCACGGGTGATTTTGTCTGTCACTAAGTCATTGGTGGAGTCCGAAATAACTGAGAATAAGAGGGGTAGTTACGTCAAAGTATTTAAAAAGGAGGGACAGAATAGTCTGTACGATAATTATGTCCACACGCACAAACAAAACGTGAGAAATAAGGTGTAACGAAAAGAAAAAGAAAAAATAAAAATAAGAAAGAGTCGTAATGACTGGCATGGAAGGCTAAGTCAAATTCAGAATAAGCGGAATAAACGTGACTATTGAAAGCGATGCAAACCTTCTCTCTCTCTCTCTCTCTCTCTCTCTCTCTCTATATATATATATATATATATTTGTTGGTGTGCAAACTTCCATTTGAATTAGCTAAAAAAAAAACTTCCATTTGAATCCGCTTATTCTTTTTTTCTTTTTTTATCTGTAAAACTATTATGATCATTTTATTTTTATATTAAGTTCCATTCAAATTACGTTTAAATTAACATAAAATTCGATTTTTTTAGTTTCTTTAAATATCTATTTTTTACAATAAGTTTTTGAAAATTTTCGTTTATTATTTGATTAAAATTATTTTTATTTTGAATTATATTTGATTTTTACGGGATAATCGGATATTTTAGCATTAAAATAGATTGGAGGCAAAATAAACATTTTATATTTCTGTTTGATTGATTGAACTATCCAAATTATCCAAATTTAAGCATACGATTATATATATATAATTAGTGTATATATATATATATATATATGTATGGCACACCTGCCATTGTTTTGGTGAAACTACGTGCCCGACACGTGAAATACATGCACCTAACTTAATCCTACTCCAATTACTTTTTTTTTCTTTTTAGTTATATAATCATTACTCTAATTAGTGTGTATAATCATATACTTATTAAGTTTAGATTTGCTTTAAATTTTAAATGGAAAGGGACTAAATATATTATTGTACTTTAAGCATACGATTATTCCTACTATATCAGAAACTCGTGATAATTCTATAGTTGATGCATTGAATTAGCCCTTGTATGAAATGAACAATTACGTCAAATTTAAAAGATAAATTCGCAAATATATATGTGAAGCTATATAAATTATGCAGTGATATGAAAAAAGACAAAACAAAATATATTAAAAAATAAACTACAACTCAAATAAATAATTAGAAATAAATTAAAAGCTATAAAATGGTATTGCATGATTTGTTAATGAAATGATGATTTAATTTAAATTAAAATATAATTTGATATTTTTATTATGCATAAATTAATATAAAATTGATGTCATTTTTAATTACTAACAGTACAAAGGTATATTTGGTCAATTTATATTTATAGTTTTTTTTATCATATTAAAAGTATAAATATAAAACTAATAATTTTTTTGGTATTAAAATGGTGATAAATTAACAAATCAATGTATTAAAATTTCCGATAAATAGAAATCGGATATGTATATCTTAAATCTTTCAATTGGATTTTAAATATTGTGTCTGTAATTTGTATTCGACACTTGTCACTTGACACTGCAAACATCCTGAACTTTATTTGGCAAGTGTTACGACTGCCTATAAAATAGAAACAACTTTTAGTACTTTTATAGTTGATATTTGTACAATATATATTTCTTTAAATATATTTAAAAGCCAACATTAGTCCAAAACTATGATTTCAAACCAATAGTTTTTGGAATATAAAAAATTAAATAAAAGACTTGTTCATCATAAAAATATAATTTAAACAAGGCATTCAATACGAAGTTTTTCTACCCCAGCTTGTTTTGTACGTTCGTATCACTTTATATTTGGAACATAATATAAATTTTGGAATCATTTTAAAAATAATCTATAATTTATTGGAGAGATAATTTTGTCAAGTGTGGGAATTAATGCTCCAAATTAACGTGATGCATTTCTTTAATTGCGTGATTTTAGGTATTTTGTGGGTTGCACCTGCATTTCTCCACCACATTAACAACCTCAAACAACTATAAGTTTTTTTTTTCTTTTTTTTTTTGTTTGCCTAACAAATTTAAAGGAGCTTTTATCTTACGGAATTAAATAATATATGATGGTTATAAAATATTGGAATCATTAAAAACGTTGCGTGGGATGTGGACGGACGCCTAATAGCAAAATAACCATTTTTAAATTCCCTTTATTATTTTAAACCATGGTGTAACTATATTATACACTATTAAAAAAAAGGCGTGCGCTAGTTATTTTTTTTTTAAAAAAAGAGAGGATAATATCTGGAGGTTGAGAGATAAATAAAATATTATTTTTTAGATAATAATAATAATAAAGAAAAGGCGTGAACCTCGTGCGTTTTTTAAAGACCTGTTTTCCGGAAACATAAAGACGGAGAAGACCATTGTTTTCTATTTATCATCATCCTCTCGCGCCTCTTCAATTCAATCCCACCTTCCCTCTAGATCTCTCTCTTCAACCTCAGGAGTAAGAAGAAGAGAGAAAAAAAATGTCGAGAGCTATGGTGGAGCTCGATTTCTTCGGACTCGGGAAGCAGGCGTCGGCGGCGAAGACGACAACGACTTCGACGGCCACCTCTCCCAAGCCTAAGTTCCAGAAATTTCTCGATCGACGCCGCAGTTTCCGAGGTTCGTTCGGTTTAGATTTCTTCATACTGTTTCTGCGGGTTTGTGTTATTTTGTTGTTGTTATTGGTGGTTATGGTGAGAGTAACTTGTTTGCGGTTTCTGCAGAGATTCAAGGCGCGATTTCGAAGATTGATCCGGAGATCATCAGATCTGTGATCGCTTTCGGTGCTCCGAGTCACAGCAGCGACAGCGGAAGTCAGTTTGATTCGCCGAGCAGATCTGCGTCGGTTCCGTCCACTCCGAGGAACGATCACCCTAAGATTCCGGTTCCATCGGTCCACGCGCCGGTAGCCAGGTACTTCAGAATTTTTTCCTCGTTTTGTGATTTTGATTTCGGCGCATGCGGAGAACTTGAAATTCAAAATCTGTTTCTGAATTTGAAATTTGAATTGCCCCAGACTCAGTGCAGAGCACGTCCCTGAAACCGCTCCTATGACGATTTTCTACAACGGAAACGTCTCTGTTTTCGAGATTTCTCCTGATAAGGTGAGTTAATTGGATTTATCCGTATTTCGCAAAACGTTGCTTTCCTCCATGCGATGCTGTTGGGGTTCGCTCTTGAGCCGAATATTGTCGAATTTGGTGCATAGGCGGAGAGCATTTTGAAGGTCGCTTTGGAAGCCTCTTCCTCGAAGAACGTCGAATCAACAGAGCCAAATGCTACAGTCTCCCCGAGCGAAAAACAAAAGCTATTCGGTCAGAATCTCGAAGGAGGTTAGGGTTTGCTCGCTTCCCTTCATACATTCCCCACAGTTGATTATTTGTACATCACACACGAATTCGACAGATCAATTGATTCGGCTGCAAAAAAAAAAAAAAAAAAAAAAAACTCGGGGGGAAAGTCGTATGAATGCTATGTAGTTGGTACAGCTATACAAAAATCAGCCGCGTTGTACTCGATTTAAGTAAATTCGTAAACGATTATATACAGAGGAAATGTTCCTTTGCAAAACAAGAAACAGTGAAAGAGAAGTATATCTGCAGTCTGTTTCCGTTTGAATCTGATGGGATTGGGGAGTGATTTTTGCATATGAACTCATCAAGAACCGTGTGGTTTTTCCTTGCAGATCTGCCAATTGCAAGGCGAAAGTCACTCCAAAGGTTTCTGGAGAAGCGCAAGGAGAGGTAAATTTGTTCTACCATCCCAAGGATGAAGCTCACCTTTTTTAACAAAAAAAGGTTTTCTTCTCTCTTAGTCCATAAATATTATTATTTCTCCTTGATAAATATAATATTTTTAATCAATTTAATTAGCTAAAAAGAAAGGACCTCCCAAATCAAATATCACTGATGAGATATCTAGAAGAAAAACCGTTCTTTATGACTCAAATAGAGATTTCTAGAATTTCTGACTTCGATAACTCACTCGGTATACAAGATTTGTCGGCGAAATTGCCGTAGGGAATGTTTGAACGCACAAATGATATAACAAAAAAAAAAGATTTGTTTTTTTTTTAATTATATATATTTGATGCAAGTCAATAACCCACGCGGTTTTGAACACGTTTTCTGCAGATTAGTACCGAACTCTCCATATTCACGGTTGGCTTAGATCTTCTCCTTCTGTTCGACGACGGCCCGCTTTTGACCACTGAAGTATTCCGTCTCGTGTTTTGCTTCTTCGCTTGAGTTCTCGAAGGTTCTTTTTTCACCGAAGCAACCAATGCTTATGATTTTAGTCTAACATTACAATGTTATAAAAAAAATCACCGCAATGGGGGCTTAGGTTTTTTTAGTAATTCTCGAAGGCTCGTTTTCTGTATATTATATATATATATATGAATATGTACACCTTTAATCGTATATTCTAACACTGAGGTCTTACCTTATAATATCTTAAACCGTCATGAATTCGATTTTAATTATCGATTAGTATATGCTAATTAGGTAAGAAACACGAGACGATACCAATATGTATGTATATATTATATTGGGAAAGTCTGCCGACCAAATTGTGCCATTTGATTTGTCTTTGATTCGACGTTTCTGGCCTTGCAACAGAGACACTATAATGGCTAAGAAATTTTGATTGGCCTATGTGAAGACTAGAGGGTTCTCTTCCATTGCTTTCCACATTCTCCATGTTTCCACTGGTCCGGAACAAAGCAGCAGACGCTTTCGTACCGCCATTATTATGCTTGTCCTACTCAGCAAACAGTACGCAAGAAATAAAAAATTAAAACACCACAACTACGGGTGGACCTTTCGGAAAACGGTTTGGGTTCGGGACGGAATAAATCGGTTCGGTTCTTTCGGTTTTACAAAAATAGGTACCAATCGAGTTATTTATTATATTCGGTTCGGTTTCGGTATCGGTTCGGTTCGATTCCGGATTTTATTAAAAAAATGATATATTTCCTTTAAAAATATTCGGTTTTTCGGGATTTTTAAAGTTCGATTCGGTTCGGTTCGGTTCTGGAAAAATTCAGTTCTCTAAAAATGGTACCATTCGGAAAATAACAGCGGTTTCGGGTCGGGAAAAATACCGTTTTAATGGTTCGATTCGGTCAGGTTCCGCATAACCGAACCGAAACGCCCAGCCCTAACCACAACACCAAATACATACCTCATTCATTTATTTATTTTTAAATCTAATAAAAATAGTTACAATTTCAGTCCATAATAATAATATTATTCTAGAAAAAAGAAGGATAATTCATAGAAATCCCATGATAGTTATTGGGTCACCGTCGGCTCAAAAGATTTCACGTAACACTTACTGTTCTGATGGGTCAAATCGATTATGTGACTTTATCAGGCCCAACTTATGACGTAATATAGAATTGCTGTTTTCTAATGTCAATTCAATTCCACAAGAAGCTCCGGTTTAAACCCCGCCAAGATCCGGGCAAAAAGGGAAATAACGATGAAGATTCCCATGCATCAGATACGTTCATGAATTTTTTTCAAACAATTATGTTTGCTAAAACCGGGATAAATATTGATTTTTTTTTTGTGTGAATAGAGCAAAAATAAAAAATAAAAGGAGAAAGAATCAGAGATCAGTTTTAAAAAGCTCGATTTATAAGAATCCTCATGGAGAATATCGGCAAGCACTTGTTTCAGTGCGAATCTCATCATCTCATCCGAATTCTTCCTCCTCAGTCATTGCAAAAAAAAAAAGTTGAAGGAACAGAGAACGAAGAACAAAAAAAAAACAAGGACGAGAAACCAAAATCTCAATGCAGAGAAACAAAAACGAGTTGGCTGTGCCGGCAGAGTTAGGAGGCTTTGCTTTTATAGCCAGCGTATTCTCCCAAACCCTAGTTGGATACTTATAGGAGAGCACAATACTACGCCGTTTCATTCCAACATTTTGTAGGCCTTATTGGGCCGGGACTACATGACGTCTGGGTCTGGAGTATTCGAACTGGGTGCCGTTTAAAAATCTACTTATGGGCCTACCCGCGTCGGCCCATACGACTAGTTAAAATCCAGGCCTTAAAAGAGTAACGGACGGACCCAAACAAATATAAATATATTTTCCCTTTTCTCAAACATTTGAAACGAAAATTGTAAAAAAAGTTTTTTTTGGGTAAAAGAAAGAAAAAAAGTTGTCAAAAAAGAAAGAACGTTTCTATGTAGTTTCCGTATAATTTCATATGAATCTTAAATTCCGTATTAAGCAAAATTATCATATATTTAATCTACCTGAATCAATATTTTGTTTTTCTTTTCTCCAAATATATTGTTTTGTTTTTGTAATTTCTTTTTGGTAATAGAATATTTTAAATCGAGATTCATACTGATCTTGAGATTAAAAGTAATAGACAAAATATTTTTCTATTATTAATGAGTGAAAGATTATACCCTAATATATAGCAAAATATAATAGAATATTATAGGTATAATATTTAGGATAAATCATAACTATATTAATGATAATATTCTAGAAATAATACTTCCTATAGGAAAGTAAGTCGGATGATTAGAATTATGCTATTCTCTCTACTTTGAGAATCGAATTCAGACAAAATCTTATTTTATCGAATGAACTATATGGTTTTTGGCCAAATTTTGTTTGAAGCATTTTGATTTTAAAAAAAAAAACAATTGAGAAAACAAATGTGTCGACGGTAATACCCACACACACGCACGCACACGCATATATATATATATATATATATATATATATATATCCAAGAAATTTTACACTTCAAATGGGAAATTATTTAATTATTTTAAAAAATACAATATATAGTTTGATGGTCATGAGTCATGATTGCGGTCTCTGGCTTTAGACACACTCGGAAATATGCGCCACGCGAAACGAACAACGGACGAATTAAAATCTTTAGCTTATGGTTCGTTTGTTAGTCTTTTTATGGCCTCAAAATATTCCCTCTCGGGAAGCGAGTTTCTAATATTATTACAATTAATCGAAATAATCATATTCCACTAATGACGAATAATAACCACGTAGAAAGTAGGAAATTGAAAAAGGCACCAAAATATGCATGCGAATTAACAAAAAGAGGGTCTCATAATTAACTAATAATCAAAATAATGATTATAATTATTAAATTAGAAATAGCCGAGAGAGTAAAATACTCATGCGAAATCTATATCGAATCAGACCATATTAACCGGATTTATTTTGTAGGGCATTCATGAGGTAAGATGAAATTTATATCCATCACGTTGGGATTATTAATTATAAATTCAATAAACTTGAATATGTAATAATCATTTCCGATGGATGTTTCTTCATTTTAATACTTCAAAACAATATTACCCAAAAGAGGAAAACATCACTCGGATACGATCATTTGTATGTTTGTCCATACATGCATATACCTCGGAATGGATTGACCATTATCCGATCATTTGAAAAATGTAATTGGATCGAAAGCACGGTAAATTTTTGGATTATAAAAAAACTGTCGTGTCATGGATATCCGAACCCTAAACTTCATAAAAAAAAAAAGACAGATATTTCAAATTTTTAATAAATAGTTAGATATTGTATCATTTTCAAAGCAAATCAAAGATATTTTTATAATTTTTTAAAATATTAATTAAAGATAATTTATCATTTCTAATAAGTTTCAGTACATGATATAGACATCTTACGTACGAAATTAAAAAAAATGAATTTATATCTAGATTTACGGGTACAACATTCATGTTATATAAAACACGCGATCCATATATAATTCAGATACTCGATCATGCATCAAATATTTTTGGCCACCCCTAACAGTTAATAAAGGGAGAATATTCGGATGGACGTGAGAGAGGGCGAGTTGGTAGCAGAGAGAGGGGACATGCAATGGTAAAGTCACAGAAAGTATGGTTTCTTTTGGGGTTTTGGAATGATCGTCCTTCAGTTGTCTTTCATGCGTAAGTTTATTTATATATATGCTTCATTTTTACTTGTCCCCATAAGCCTGCTAAAAGGCACTTTCTCCCTCTCCCTCTCTCTCTCTCTCTCTCTCTCTCTCTCTCTCTCTCTCTTTCTCTCTAGCTATACATATATATATATATATATGTGTGTGTGTGTGGATTGTGTATGTTTTATTTGATGCCCATCATATATATGTCATTAGAGGGGTATTATTATAGGCCATAAGCATCTTAAACGTACGTACGTGGTTATTGGGTGAGTGGACCGCATTGGAAATATGTAACTTGCTCAGGAATTATGTGGACCGACAAATTATTCCCTCATCTTTTTCCATGCACCAAAAGTTCATTCGTTCTTTCTCGTAAGGTATATACGCACTCACTTGTATATATATGCATACACATTATGCTGCTTGCTTTCCCTTCGTTGTTCTCTATGAGCCACGTATGAGTTCATACAATTCGCCACCCGTGTCGCCGTAGGATCGTATAATTGTCCAATACGGACAAAATATACATACATGCATACACACACATACTTGCTATATAGTGATATGTTTTTTTTTGGGGTATGAAAATATAGTGATATGTTATCAATTTGTTTTAGAAGATTATCGATCTAAATTTAATTTGAAGATTGGACTTGCGGTTCGATAGTTTTTTTTTTTTAATAATGAGGTTTATTGGACCGAATGCCTTTGTCCCAGTTAGTCTCTCTAAATCCAAAGTCAGTCTTTAGTCACATAATTAATTGCGCTCTATCTTTTCACTAGTGGAATCGAATCCAGTATTTAAGAGTGACTTTATCACTTTTTAATCATTGGATCATCTAATAGTGATAAATGCGGTTTGATAGTTTTACAACCCAATTTAATATATTTTTTATTAATAGTCTAAATATGCATTTTGATTAAGCATATCAAATTGTCGAATATGACAATTTCGAATATGAGATGGAAGGGTATATTACAATTAGATTGCTTTTCGAGTATTGCCCATCGGTCAGCTCAACGTTCTCTTTTTTCAAGTTATTGAAAAATTTTATAATGGAAACTTTTCCAACTGATTAATTTTAAAAAAGGGGAGATAGTTTTATGTTTTTAATTAACTGCATGGAACAAGAAAATCACATGCATGGACTGACCGTGTACTTATTACACCACATGCAATACACCCATTTACAGAGATACCAGGAAAAAACCCTAAAAATTTCTAAATTTGGAATTTAGAGTAATATTAATTCCTAAACTTGTAGAGGTGTCTATTAATTCTCAAACTTCCAAAATTGAACACATTAAATCATGAACTTTTTAAACGGTTCAATAATCGTTCATAGCGTTATTTGGTCAAAAAAACGAATTGACCGATCCGACGTGACACTTGACGTGGCAAACCAACTCAGAAAATTATTACCACGTATGCAATTTTCGGTTCTTCTAGAAACCGACTTTAATCAAATGTAGTGAACAGTAAACCAGGTCTCGGTTTCAACGAGCCAACCTCGGTGCTCGACCTTTGTGGAAGTCCCAGTCGCGCCGTCGTCACGAACTTCGGTTACCGTTGCGAAGGAGGTATCCGGTGGAGGACGAACTCGATCTGAAACCAGATTTTCAGATTCACCGCGAAAAATCAAGTAAACCTCGGACCATCCGAAATCCGTCGGGTGAAGCTGATCAGAAAAATCAGGAAGCTGAGAATCGACGCCGTAATGAGTCGGAATGGCGAAAGTGGTGAAACCGGTGGTCCTTCCTCCACCGGATACCTCCTCCGCAATGGCAACCAAAGGCTTATCCACGACGGCGGTGGGGCTGGGGCTTCCATGAAGGTCGAACACCGAGCTTGACTCATTGAAACCGAGACCCGGTTTACTGTTCACTACGTTTGATTAAAGTCGGTTTCTGGAAGAATCAAAAATTATATATGCGGCAGTAATTTTCTGAGTTAACTCGTCACGTCAAGCGCCACGTCGGATCGGTCAACTCGTTTTTTTGACCAAATAACGCTATGGACGATTATGAAACCGTTTAACAAGTTCAGGATTTAACGTGTTCAATTTTGCAAGTTTGGAAATTAATAAGCACCTCTACAAGTTCAGGAATTAATATTACTCTAAATGTAATTTAAAATTTTTTAGGGTTTTTCCCTAATCTAATACGGTTAAATTCCTTTTTTTTCACTCTATGCTTTTCTTATAACAAACTGGAGGTATATATATGGATTTCAACAGATCATATTAAAACTGTCTCATATTCATTTTCATTCGGATTTTCAAATTCAGAGTTTCGTCATACCTCATAATTCCATTATTATTATTTTCAAATTTTAGAAAATCTAAATACATAATTCGGATTCCGATACATGAGTCGAATTGTTTTGTCCAAAGTTATTTTAAACTCTCAGTGACCATATCTTGTTAAACTTTAGACATCAAATATATGAGCTCGTATAGAAAATGGGTTTCTGTTACAAACCCGAAATCGCATTCATTAGATGTAGATTAATGTCCATATTTTCGATTGGTTTTAGAAATGGAATAAGAGAGAAATTCAAGAGAGAAACATTTTGAGAATTTTCTGATCTTCTTCGTTCCAAAAAAAAAAAAAAAAAAAACACCCCGAGGCTTCTTAAATACGAATTTGATGTAGCATTTGTTAAAGTATATAAAGTCATGTCACGTATAGTGGATTGTCTATTCAATGCAAAATTCTAATTTTCTAAATATATATTCGAAGGAAATTATCAAAATGAGGTAAAAGGCAAGTTGAAGCCAATGAAGATGTGGCATATATATATATATATATATATATATATATATATATATATATATATATATATATAGAAGAAAAAAAGAAAGTAAAAAAGAAAGAAAGGGATAGATCTTTTTATGATTTGATTCAACGGCTAAGGTAAATGAATTCCATGCCCATGCAATGTCACCAAGAGGCCATGCGCCTCTCTTCCTTTTCACTTCTCCTTTTTTCTCCCCAAAAGCTTTTACTCCCTTTTTATTTTATTTTCTTTTTTTTTAATCAAATATATATTTATAGATTATTCCCCCTTCATACAATGCGTTAGAAAAACATAGAACCAAATTGTGAAATTCCATATATAGGTCATGTTGTATATATTAAGGAATGATTTGATTAACGACGTAGAATATAATTAATCTAAGTGGAGGTTAATTTAGATAGAATAAACGTGACTAAACATGTGAATTTAGAACAAATATTCACGTTGTAAAGATTCGATTCAAGAAGATTTGGAGTTGGGCGGTCGAACATAATTTCATTAAAAATAAAATTGTACATTATACTAAAATTACAAGTGAATAAATACACCTTCGTGGGAATTATACCCATCTTTACAATTTCACTTTTCAGTTTCCATTCTATCGAATTCAACTCGTACTTTTATTTCGAAACTAATTCATCCAACATCCCAGTCATCTTTGTCCTCATGTATAATTAAATTGAAATTTAGTTTTAACAAACCGATTAAGCATGTTCTTTATTTTGTTTTTTATGTAAACATTTAAAAATATATATTAGAGTTGGAAAGCACGTGGTTTTTACACGGCAAGTACAATCTTTGGGAAGTGATGCGCTGCAAACGTACCAGAGCTCAGTTGATGTGTTGTGTCTGAATTATAATTTTCCTCTGAGCTAACAAACATAATCATTTTTATAAAAAAAAAACACTAGTATTAATTAAATTAATTATACGTTTTGATACACTATGATGTCTCTTGGGATTATTAATACACATAATATCTAAATTATTGAAATATGACAGGTATAATGTCATCATGCCTCTCCACTTATTCCGGCACTCCATTTGTCTCGTTTTCAGGCTTTACTGAAAGTCTCAGCTTTTTATTTCATAAAAGAAGCCAACCCTTTGGGGGGTTTTCATACATTTATTCACACACATATATTCCTAAATTTATATATATATATAGGTTGGGTACCAATATATATGTGGAAACAGATATGCATTGAAATGAAAGAGGGAATATATACATATAAAATGTATTATATAAAATATTAATAGTATAAGACACCCATATATATATATACACACACATTTGTACAAGGCATAAAAGAAAATAAATTGTGCTTTTAATCTTCCTACGTGATTAAGCCAGTTGTACATAAATAAACTTTTCTTATATCGAATATACTATATTGTAGTTCCTCTATTCTATCGATTATGTACTCAATTAACGTTGAAAAGATATGAGAAATGTCTCAAAACTCAAAAGTCGCGTGATGACGTATAGAAAAATTAGAAGATATTTGTGGATTGAGTCTCCTATGTAACCACATAAATACATTATAATATATATTTTTTTACATGGCGGGGCTATTTGTTATTGGGTGGTCCGATACCCCACTTAATTAATTAAAGAATTATTTTATTAAACATTTTTAGGAAGATATATTTTTATTATTTTATATGTATACTAATTGTATGCCATTTTTTTTTTCCAGAATGGATTGAGAATCTCAAATCGTATGCCAATTTTCATGTACGTATATAAATATGACATGATATTGAAATATATGTTACGTATGTAATTTTGAGGTTATAAATCCCAAGCAAAGTATCCATTACTTTATATAAATTGCGACATTGACCTCTCTCTCTCTCTCTCCATTCCCACAAGCTTCCAAACAAAGAGAATTAAAGGAAAGTGAGATTTGAGAGTTTTATTCTCTCCCTCGTGTCTTCTCTCATCATTAACACACCATACTCTCCGAAGAACCTTTTGTTTCTCTCTTAATTCAGTTCCATGGCTCTTTCTTCTCCGCTCCCCCTCCCTCTTCTTCCCCACCATGTTTCTCAAATCTAATAAAAACCCTAATTTTCTCTTTCTTCCCCTGATAAAATATCCTCATGTTGAGATCACAAAGCTCTCCTACTCCCTCGCTTCTTCCGACCACCGGAATCCGCCATGGTTCCTGC